AGCATAGTCATTTTCTAGGCTAATATAGACCCGCCAATGCATGCCTAATTCCACACCTTCATTTGCCTCATTTCAGAGCCACCGCACCTTTGCACGCTTCAACCAGAGCGCGGTCAAAACGAATGTCCTCTGCAGCTCTCTTGGTCAGCATATGCACCTGCGAGCGCATGTGTGAGGGGAGAGGAGAGGAGAGGAGAGGAGAGGAGAGGAGAGGAGAGGAGAGGAGAGGAGAGGAGAGGAGAGGAGAGGAGAGGAGAGGAGAGGAGAGGAGAGGAGAGGAGAGGAGAGGAGAGGAGAGGAGAGGAGAGGAGAGGAGAGGAGAGGAGAGGAGAGGAGAGGAGAGGAGAGGAGAGGAGAGGAGAGGAGAGGAGAGGAGAGGAGAGGAGAGGAGAGGAGAGGAGAGGAGAGGAGAGGAGAGGAGAGGAGAGGAGAGGAGAGGAGAGGAGAGGAGAGGAGAGGAGAGGAGAGGAGAGGAGAGGAGAGGAGAGGAGAGGAGAGGAGAGGAGAGGAGAGGAGACACAACACATGGGAGCAAGCCTGCGTCTTTCTCCACATAGATGGGAGGGGAAAGCACGCATGGGAGGGGAAAGCACGCATGGGAGGGGAAAGCACGCATGGGAGGGGAAAGCACGCATGGGAGGGGAAAGCATAACGGAGGTCCTGGTGAAGAAACCTAACCCCACGGTTCCATGACTTGAATCGACTCAAGCACTATGCTTCCATCCCAGCCCCCACAACCAGCCCCATCCCCCCCTCCTCCCACCCACACCATCCCAGCCACCCCCAACCCAACCCCAACCCAACCCATCCCACTCTACCACACCACACCACATCTTACCTGCTGCCTGCAACGCGGGTCCTTGAGCTCGTCCCTGTATTTCTGCAGGCACTGGATCACCTTGACGTCTGAACTACCCCCCCCTCCCTCCCCTGTCATGTCTGACGCATCCTGGTGAACCCCATTTCACCGCATTCCACCACAGCCCACCGCACCCCACCGCACTCCACCGCACCACACCACATCTTACCTGCTGCCTGCAGCGCGGGTCCTTGAGCTCGTCCCTGTAGTCCTGCAGGCACTGGATCACCTTGGCGTCTGAACTACCCCCCGCCCCCGTCATGTCTGACGCATCCTGGTAGCACGTCTGCATGGCACAGGGGCGGCAAGCAGGTGGCAAGAGGGCGGCACAGAGCGGCAAGCAGTGGCAAGAGAGCCGCAAGAGGGCGAAAAAAGCGCGTGTTGGAAGGGAGGAAGGGTACAAAACAACAAGTGTTCTCTTACAAGTAGAATTCAAAATCCCTATGACGGGAGCGCAGAGCTTCTGCATGCAGCAGGATGTTGGGAGGAGGAATGGCAGAAAGTAGCCAAGGTGGCAAGGGGGGGTGCAATTGCTGCTTGCAGCAGGATGCATGCAGGAGGGTACCTCCACAATGCCTTTGTGGCAGTACTTCTGCAGGTTGAAATCCCGCCTGAAGTCTGAAAGAGAGGTGCGTGTGGTGTGGTGTTGGGAGAGGTGCGTGTGGGGAGAGGTGCGTGTGGGGAGATGTGCGTGTGGGTGGGGAGAGCCTGGGAGGTGCATTTGAGGAGCAGGATGTTTGAGCGGCCATACCTTGACAATGTCTTTGTGGCAGTACTTCTGCAGGTTGAAGTCCAGCCTGAAGTCTGAGTGTAGTGAGAGGTGCGTGCTGTGAGGTGAGCATGGTGAGAGGTGAGTGTGGGGGAGAGGTGCGTACCTCGACAATGTCTTTGTGGCAGTACTTCTGCAGGTTGAAGTCCAGCCTGAAGTCTGATGCGCGCCTCTCCATCATCTTGTCGAACTCCACCTTGCTGCCACGTCAGATCATGCCATGTCACCAGGCCATGCCACATCATGCAATATCATATCGTGCCATGCCATGTCCCAAGCCAGCCCATTCAGCAAGCACAGCATGAGCCACAAGCAAGCAGTGCAGACAGCGACACAATTTTGAGGCGCTAAAAAAAGCGTCTCACTTCACTTCACTCCACAAAATCACATCATTTTACTTCCCTATGCACGTCCCATGTCATGTCCCCTGATACCATCCCTCCCCGGCCCCCCCACACCTCTCCCCCATTGCCCCATGCAGCTGGTGCCCGTTCTCACCAGCCTTTGGAGAAGTCAGCCTCCAGCCGGTGCTCCTCCAGGCAGTCCTTCACCCGCGCATCCCCGGGCGGCACGTCGGGGCAGAAGCGCCTCTTGTCCTGCAGACAAGCTGGCGCACGTGGGGAAAGAGTAGGAGGCGGGCGGAAGGGAGGGGGGAGAAGAGGGCGGAAGAGAGGAGACGAGACGGTGCTCCTCCAGGCAGTTGTTCACACGCGCGACACTGGGGGGCACATCAGGGCATAAGTGCCTCTTGAGTCGACTCAAAAGTCACTTCACCCATGCGTGGGGGGGGGCACATAACGGCAAAAGCGCCGCTTGTCCTGCGCTGTGGACATGCTGGTGAGTGAGGAGATAGAGAAAAGGGGGAAAGAGGAAAAGGAAAAGGGGAGAGGGGAAGAGGAGGAGTAGAGTAGAAGGCTGAAAGAAGGGTTTGAAGCTCTAACAGAGTCCCAAGAAGTGAGGCTGGTGCAGTGCAGTGCTCTCACCTTGAAAGAAGAGGACAACCCATGAGACCCCCAGTATCCTGTCCAAACAACCCAAACGTCAAGCTGCAGCAACTGAGACTGGTGTCGCTGCGCAGCCTGATGCGCTTCTTGTCATGCTGCTGCTGCTGCTCACCTTTTAACAGATGGAGGCTCACCTTTGAAGAGGCGCACGTTGAGGCGGATGTCTCCTGACCCCTCCACCTCCTGCCGGAACAGCTCCGACATGCAGTCCCAGCTGAGACCCGTGCGCTGCTGGCGCTGGCAGAGGGCAGCGGGAATGGCGAGGAGTGGTGGGGGAATGCGGGAGGAATGGAGGGGGTGGAATGCGGGGGGGGTGGAATGCGGGGGGGGTGGGTGGTTGGTGGAATCAACAATCAGCAGTACCAGCTCAGACTCGTGCGCTGCTGGCGCTGGCAGAGGTCAGGCGGAATGAGGAGGAGTGATGGAGGAATGCGGGAGGAGTGGGTCAGTCACACAGACGGAGCGGGGAAGTGGAGGGGCAGTTTTGGGGGAAAGCAGATGTGGACAGGTTGAGTTAGTGCAAAGAGTTTCTGCAGCAATCATACCGAATCACGCCCAATCAACCACTTTTGAGTCGACTCAAAAGTCACCTCAGCAGATGTGGACAGGTTGAGTTAGTGCAAAGAGGTGACTTTTGAGTCGACTCAAAAGTCACCTCAGCAGATGTGGACAGGTTGAGTTAGTGCAAAGAGTTTCTGCAGCAATCATACCGAATCACGCCCAATCAACCACCCACCACCAGTCACAGGTGGTGCACTCACCAAGCAGTCCTGAACGCGCCCTTCCCCAGCAGGCACCCCTTTACAGAGCCTCTGGGCGTCGGCAGTGCACGTCTGGTTGAGCTGCGGGTCAAACGCCACGTCTGCTGCCGCGTCCCTCTGCGCCTAAAAAAACACCTGGCTCCGCTCTCCTGCACGGGTCACACTCCCTCACTCCTCCAGCCACGCTCACACATACAGCCAGCCCCACTCCCTCAACCCACCAGTCACACCCAATCAAGGGGGGGACACTCACCAGGCAGTCCTGAACACGCCCCTCCCCAGCGGGCACTCCTTTACACAGCCTCTGGGCGTCGGCAGCGCACGTCTGGTTGAGCTGCGGGTCAAATGCCATGTCTGCTGCCGCGTCCCTCTGCGCCTCAAACACACGGTTCTTGCACAGGTCAGACAGGCGCTCGCTCGCCTTCGCCTCCCTGCAGTCATGGGATAGAAGGTCAAAACGAATGGGTTGGGGGAGTAGGGGGTGGCGGAGGGAAGGGGGAGTTCTGCTACCGCATCCCTCTGCGCCTCAAACACGTGGTTCTTGCGCAGGTCCGAGAGGCGCTCGCCCGCCTTCACCTCCCTGCAGTCATGGGATAGAAGGTCAAAACGAATGGGTTGGGGGAGTAGGGGGTGGCGGAGGGAAGGGGGAGTTCTGCTACCACATCCCTCTGCGCCTCAAACACGTGGTTCTTGCGCAGGTCCGAGAGGCGCTCGCCCGCCTTCACCTCCCTGCAGTCATGGGATAGAAGGTCAAAACGAATGGGTTGGGGGAGTAGGGGGTGGCGGAGGGAAGGGGGAGTTCTGCTGCCGCATCCCTCTGCGCCTCAAACACGTGGTTCTTGCGCAGGTCCGAGAGGCGCTCGCCCGCCTTCGCCTCCCTGCAATTGTTTAGGGATAGACGTAGGGGTAGAAGGGAGAAGTGAACACGGCAAGAGGAGAACGGGGCAGGAGGCTATGTTGCACTATACGCTTGGCCTGTTTTTCGTTTCACGTTTATGCGTTCACGTATAAACGCAAAAACGTGATACGGGGACAAATACGCGGTACGCCTGGTCGGGCAGCCCGTCGAAAAAAATAAAATCTGTTGCGACCGTTCTCGCGATCTGTGATTCTCCGTAACCTAATTTTGACATTTGAAAGTCGAATGCCTTCCACCCCCCCTTCCACCGCACATAACCTCACACCACCTCCCAAACCCAACCCTTCCCTTCCAACCACACTTTGGCTTTCACGTTGGCAGCTTCGAAAACCTATGTCGACCGCTAATGTCACAGCTGGACGCAAGTAGGCAGAGGGGTGCAGATCTGGCATTCCGCCAGCAGATCCGTGCGATTCTAGTATTCCGCCAGCAGATCGGCGCAGATAGGCAAGAAACGTTGAATATAGGGACCATCACTCACTCCCTTACACTTTTTTCCCCTGCCCGGGACACCGCATTTTGAGCGTACCGAGGGGGCGGAAATCCATCGCACGACGTTCGTACGTTGGCGTATAGTACGAACGCGACTGGTACGCCAGTCGCGTATATTGCAACATAGGCAGGAGGACCGGATGTCTGCTGCTGCATCCCTCTGCGCTTCAGACATGGGCTTTTTGCACAAATCAGACAGGCGCTCACGTGTCTTTGCCTCCATGCAGTCATGGGAGAGAAAGGGAGGAGGATGGAGGGCGGCAAGAGAGGAAGGTGGGGAGGATGGTTGTGCGTGACAATGGGGAGAGCATGGCAGAAAGCGGGGAAGTGGGACAGCTCCCCCCCCTTTCCCTCACCCAACCCCACCCCCCACGCACACACACGCACGCACGCGCGTACAATCAGAGACACACACACCCACCGTAGGCATGCGAGCACGCTGCCGACTCCGGGGTAGAGGAACTTGTCGTCACAGAAGGACGCCACGTCCTCCTTGCAGTCCTCCACTGGCATTCGGGTGAGGGGGAGGAGGGCACGGGTGTGGGGATGGGGCGGAATTAATGAGTGAGAGCCTTCTGCTGAGCATGCATTGCAGAACAGAAGGAGGAACTTGTCGTCACAGAAGGACGCCACGTCCTCCTTGCAGTCCTCCACTGGCGTTTGGGTGAGGGGGGTAGGTAGGGGAGTTTGGGGCACGATCAGAGCAGAAGAATGAGCGGGGAGGACGAGGTTGGGAAGGGCGCAAGGTCAGCGTTTGAGGAGCCGCTGAATATGCAGCACAGAAAACGAGGAGCGATGGAGGAAGGAAATCTACTCACTCCACTCTTTGTCGATGGAGATGTTCTTGTAGACTTGGATCTTGAAGTTGCGGATGTCATCCAGACACTTGTCGGAGAAGTTATCCGTGAGGTTGGCTGTGAAGTGAAGGCGGGCGAGAGGAAAGAGCGAAGCCAGAGGGAAACCAAGCAAGACGCCAGAAAAGGCTGGAATGAGGGGACTAAACGATGGGTCCTGTGGCAAACACCCCTTCCCAGTCAAGGTCAAAGCGTACAACGAAAGGGATGGGATGTTGAAGTTGGTACTTGCCATCAGTGGTGGACGCGAGTTGCAGCAGCGTGTACTGCATGGTGAGGCACCGCTCCATCGTTCGATTGCCCACCTCCACGTCAACACAGAACCGCCCCGCCTCGTCCGCGCATGGCCCTGCAGGACGCACCCACGTGCATGCATGCACCCCACCCACCCCACACGTGCACCATGCCACGTCAGCACACAGCTCGGTCTATCATGGTACAGCATCACAGGTGCGTTGGATCCAAGCCACAACACTAGGTCGTTTGGTTTGGCCGAAATGTGTCAGATACAAGCTTGGCCTAGGGTATTCAAGAAGCTTCGTCCTTGCTTTACATTGCTATCGCCTGATGCCAACAGGCCCACTAACTGTTCGGGTTGACTCGCGTTGACTCGCGCCTGCTAACTTCTCATTGTGGCTACTGACTGCGATTGCTGAATGGGACTGCTGACGAGGATTGCTGGCTAGGACTCCTGAATAGCGTCTGGCCTTTTGAGAAAAGTGACTATGCGAGAACAGGGACATTCTCCTAGAAATGCCACACCTTGCTTGAGAATGTCTCCTTGCGTAAGTTCCGCATCCAGGATCCTGTCTTCTAACGAGGATGCATTCTCCTCAGACGATCGTTTCCCCGCTGCGGCCTTTCCATCATCGCTTGACCCTTCGCCTTGATCTTTCTCCTTGGAGTCCTCCGCGGTTTTCACTTCGGCGCTGGCGAAGTTTGGCGAAATGAGGAGGAAGATGACGAAAGCGATCGTCAGCAGTCGCAAGCGACTTTCCTGTGGGGATGCACCGCAAAAGTTACAGCAGCGGAAAAAGACGGATTGGAATTCAGTTGTGAAAGGGAGAAAATGCGAATTCCCTGTAGGGACCAACCAACGAAAAAGGTTCGATTGAGCCAATGCTGGAATGAACCAGCAGCAGCAGCATAGCGTGGCATTTTGATTCATGATCGCGATGGAAAGGAAACGCAGGTGTCATGATGAAATATTTGAAACCGTGTAAATGTGATGACAAGCCGAACTAGAAAATCGACAGTCGTTTCTGACAAATGCCGAAAGGCCGGAAACAACCACAGCTGATGAAACGAATTACTGACCATCCTGGTATTCCGTCAGAGTGAAAGAGAGAAAGCCTAGAGCTCTACAGGCGGGAGACGCGACGAAGAATCCGGTCAAAGGCAGATAAGGTTGATAAGAAACTCGTTGGGGACGTCAATACAGTCGTTTCGTAATGCTCTAGGCTCTAATACAGTATTGTGTTGTGCTGCCTAGGTCTAGAGTGAATAGAGAGACAAACAGGATGTAGGGGAGGGGACAGACAGTCAGGCCACTGGCGAAAGGCTACTGGAGGAACAGAATGATCAGGCCATTGGGATTGCCGAGCGCGCTCGCCACCAACCATTCCTTCGCGAAACTATTTACGAAATCTGTTGCACGTCGCCCACCTCGCTAAATCTCGTCGACTTCAGAGAAACCATTCAGCCAACAGATGCTTGCCAGTACGCAACTTCGCTTACACATTTTGCGATTCCAATATACATTTCACTCTCACCTAGATAGCTTTTACAAATAACCAACATTGAAAATATGACTCGTTCTCTTTTACTGCCCGAGTTAAGGCCCACGGTGATCCAGCGTAAGGGTGGACAAAGCCGCATAGCAAGTCTGCATGCGCCGGTGATAAAGCTCTTTCTTCTTCCGGTATTCCCTCATGAATAGACTCAACTCCACCTCCCCTGCAAGAAACCTGCTCCTCAAATCCTCCGCCTCCCGATTCACTTCCTCTGCTTTATCTGCTCATGCCGTGGGCCACAAAGTAAAGAAATAACAAAACAAAACGAAACAAAACTGCAAAATTTCTCGCATCGAACTTCAGTCTGGCAATCTGGCGACATTGGTACATTAACAAATAAATACAATATATATATATGCATGTAAAATGTACCTTTTAGCTGTTGCACGAGAGCCCCAGGGCTCCATCTGTCCGTGAGAGCCCTCTGCTGCGCCACCATCTGTGCCAGCCTCTCCTCCAAAGAAGCCAGCTCCGTTCCCCTAATGATGCGACACTGGCACAACGGAGGGTTGGAGATAGAGGGACACAGAGACTTAGAGGTTGGAAAAAGGAAGTTGGACTAACAGTACAGCCGACACGTTTGGGGTTACCATGTTACCATGGAGGTGGTTGTAATACCTGTGTTCTCAGCTCGGACATGTCTGCTTCCATTGCCAGAGTCGACCCTGCAGGGGGAATGAACAGTGTCAACATAAGAACAGCACAAGGGGAAAAGGAACAATAATGAACGCGAATCCAAGTTACAGGAACTGTGACAATGCAGCTGTCTGCTGAGTGAACTCAAATATCAAGTAAATGCAGGCAGGTTGAGAGCGGTTGCAGGTGTATCGAAAAGGGAGGACTGCACATGTGGGTGTGAGGTCAGGGAGGGAGGGAGATGGTGACTCACTGGCGAGTTCCTCGTTTCCCTTCTTCAGGTCATCCACCACCTGGAGTGATAAGGCATGTGCAGTGCAGGAACATGAGCAGAGTGACATACAGAGGTGAAAGTAGGAAACGACAACACACAGTTTGATGGATTACGCAGGAAAGCAAATGAACGAATACACACAACAGGTTGCATGTGTATCACGCTGCCCGTCCATGCACCACGGCGCACACAAGAAATGGCGTACCTTGGTCATCTCCTTGAGCTGTGGTATCTTCTCTCATAAGCCTTGGGGTCCGTTATAGCTCCTCTACGCCCTACCTCACACCGCCATGCACACCGCCGCACACCGCCATGCACCACCTCACACCACCGAGCATGCAGGAAGTGGAATACCTTGGTCATTTCTTTAAGCTGGGGCATCTCCTCCAGCAACTGCTGATACGCCTTGGGGTCCGTTAGAAGCTGAAATAGCTCCTCCGGGCTTTGAGAAGGGACGAGGGCAGAGAAGGAGTGAGGAGGGGTGACGGGTGGGAGTGAGGCAGGGAATAAGGGACGAAACGTGAAGGATAGAGAAGACGTTAGCAGTAGGCAGGCAGCAGCGGTCCAGGGAGCAATAACACAGGAACCACAAGAAACGCTGGCGTTTCGTTCCTGGAATGCAGGCGGAGAATTAACACAGGAAACGGCAGCACATGAAAGATAGGAACTAGCTATTGTAGCTAAAGCCTGCCAAATCTGCCCGCATCCCTCACCTCTTGCTTTCAAGGACAGGTAGCAGTTGCTGCTGCATCCCTCCCATGCCTCCCGCCCCGCCCATTCCTCCTTGTGCCATACCCATGGGTGGGGGACCACCCGAATACCCCCCCATCCCCCCCATCTCTCCTTCTCCCCCTAAACTCCCCCCTCTTCCCCCACCCCTTCCTGCAGACCCCCTTTGATCCCCCCCACCCCCGTAACTCCCCCCTCCGCCGTAGCCTCCCCCTCCCCCTACGTTCCCCCCTCCCCTGCCACCGCCGCCGGCCCTCCCCGCGTCTCTCGCTTCTTGATATTGCCGCGGACCCGCAGCAGCCGCGGCGGCAGCAGCGGCGGCGGCGGCGGCGGCGGCTTCCGCGGAACCGGGCGCGTTGGGGGAGGGGGAAGGGTACGAATGCGCGGATAGCGGGTTGGTGTGCGCCGGGGGAGCTTGAGGGGGGGTCGGTTGGCTTGGCGGAGGGTCAGGCGCGCTGGGGGAAGGGATAGAAGGAGTGAGGGGACATTAGGGGAAGCGAGTGTGGAAGAGGCAACGGAAAACGGAAGTTCGTTAGAGTAAGGATTTCATATGTTGAAAAATTGATGGAGCTAAGTAGAATATGACGGCGACAGGGAGATGGCTAGAAGCAGAAATAAGCGACACTGAGAGGAGGAACAAGGTTCTTAGCGGTGGGGAAGCACGGTAGGCACGGCTTTTTTAGGAACCAGGCTTCACGGGCTGCATACCGGCCGAACACCCCTCGAAACATGTTAGCGGTGAAGGTCGTTTAGCGTAGCCCGCGTAATCGACAGCCGGCGAATTCGACGAGCGCTATGGAATGAAAGAGGCAAGTGGAGGAGAGCGATCGGCAAAGGAGGAGCGCGTAAGTGGAAGCGTGACTGCGATGCGAACAGACAATAATAGGGACTGATAATTGACTCCAGTATTTGACTGGAGCTTGTCTGTGCTATGCTAGGCAAAGGTGAGAAGGCTTTTCTCGCTTGAAGGACGTAGTGTGAACCGGAACGTCAAGTCTCTCCTACTTCACCACGCCGCACCGAAGTGAATTCTTGATTTCCCTACAGACCCAAGTTTCGGACGTGTAATACAATAGAGACATTATACCTAATGATATTTGGTACATTATATAATTTGCTCACATTACACATATCATCTAGCCAATGATGCGATAAGCAAGTCCACCTGCTCGGCCAATCTCTTCAGCTCCACATTACCTTCTTCACCCCGTTCTCTACTTTCCCTCCTTTCAACACCTTCACCACCTCTACTCCTTCCGCTGCCACCCTCTGGTATCTCTGTCGACCCCTTCCTGTTCTCTCTCAACCTCTCTCCACCACTCTGCACACATGCCTTCTCTTCAGCGCCATGAGCCTCCACCCAAGCACTGGTGTCTATGAGCTGGCCCCGGAGGAATGCAGAGAGGCGCTGAACGGCAGACAAGCAGGCAAGCCGCACGCTGTGGTTGGAACTCACAAGGGCTTGTGCTGGCTCCTTTGTAGGGGGAAAAGGCAGGGAAGAGGAAGGGGAGCGGCGGGTGGGAAGGGAAGCGGGGGAGGGAAATGGGGCTGAGCTGGTCACGGAGGAGTGCAGAGACGGGCTGGAGGGCAGACAAGCAGGCGATTCACACACTGTGGTTGGACCCCACAAGAGTTTGTGCTGGCTACTGTGTGGAAGGGGTGGGGGCGAGTAAGGGGGTTGTGAGGGGAAAGTGGGCTTGTGTGTGAGTGTGTGCTGCATGCCAGAGCAGAGTCAGGGGAGGATCTTACAGTGTTTGCACTGAGAGATCAAAGAGCAGCAGCGCCGCACAGCTTCTTGAGAGCAGAGTCGGTATTGAGAATTCTCTCACCCACGGAGCAGTACCTGTGTGTGCAACATCTTACATTGGAGAGCGTTTGCAGAAGTTCCCTGAGAGCAGATGCTGCTTGCTGCAACAGCTTCTAAGGCGCCTCCAAAGATTTCAAGGCAGCTAAAAAGACAGCTTACATTGGAGGCGTGTGCAGCAGTTCCCTGAGAGCAGAAGTCGGTACTGCAAATTCTCACCAACAGAGAAATATATGTGTGTCATCAATCTAGCACCAATGTGAGAGCGCGGGGAGAGGGGCAGCATCTTGCATTGGAGAGCGTGTGCAGCAGTTCCCTGAGAGCAGATGCTGCTTGCTGCGACAGTTGCTGCCTCTGCTGGTGGGGATGAACAGATGGAACAACGAGAACACAGAGAATGAGGAGCACAAGGCAACCACTTGTGGGTCCGCTCTTGAGACGTGTTTGCCTTCGCCTGCCTGGCTCTCAAACGAGAAGGATGTTTTTGCTTTCAAGGCCTGAGCCTGCCTGTGCTTCGACTGACGCCAGACAGTAATAGTGGAGGGCAGGCATCGATAAACAGAGTCAAACGAGTGGAAGGCAGGGAGCGTGAGAGGCCTATACTGACAGTGTGGAAGGATGTGGATAGCAGGGCAGTGAGGGAGGCCTGTACTGATGTTGCCAGAGATTGTACCTGCAGGGATGGGATGGGGGATGCCGATAAGGGCGGGAGGGTGAGGGACAAAGGATGGAAGGGAGGCGACGAGAAGGGCGGGTGCTTAGTCAAGGCAATGTTGAAGACAGCTGGAGGAGAGAGAGGGGGTCAAAAGAACGTGCTGTACACGTTCCTTTGGAAATAAATGAAGGCCTTGCATCCCTTGATGACCTCGGTTGGAGAGATCTGGAAGCCTCCACTTACAAGGAGCGTGAGGCATGCAGGTGGGGGTGGGGTATTCCTGCTCTTGCACCTCTGCACCCAATCTCCCCTCCTGCCTCCCGAATCGCCTGCTGCTGCTGCAGCTGTCAGCTCCTCTGCTGCTTGCTGCCACGCCTTGCGAGCGACTCTGATGTAGCAGGGAGACAGACAGGGGTGAGAGAGGTGGAGAGAGGTGAGTGGGATGAGGTTTGGAGGAGTGAACGAGACAGAGGAGTGAGTGCGATGAGACACTGCGTGGAGTGGAGTGGGACGGGCACCTGACAGCACAGTGCAGGTCACGGAGTGCTTCCTCAAGTTGCTCCTTCTTCTCGCCATCCTCTGCAACTCGCTCTCCCTTGGACGCATCTGCACGTGCAAAGAAGGAGATCCCAATGAGCTGTCCATTGCAGCACTGGAATATTCCTCCTTGGTGCACTAAAGCAGGTGTTTGCCATTCAGCAGGTGTTTGCCATGCAGCAGGTGTTTGCCATGCAGCAGGTGTTTGCCATGCAGCCAGTGTTCAGAACAGCACCTGTGGGCAGTTGCTGCTGTGGGCGGCTCAGCATCTTGAGTGCGACTGTAGCGAGAGGCGTGAGCGTGCTGGCTACCTGCACAGGTGGAGGGGTGAGTGGGTGGATGAGGGATGTATGGGTGGGTGTATGGGTGGGTGGGTGGGTGGACGAGGGGCGTTATACCTGAAGGGTGTCTCTTGACAGGGTTGATTTTTGAGGCGCCTCAAAAATTGTCTCTTGACAGGGTTGAAAGTTCAACAAACGCATGCTAATCAATCAAAAGAGACAATCCAAATCTAAAAAAATGTATCAGCCAGAATCAGCATTTGAGGCCTCCCTTGTATCAAATCTACCGAATTCCTCGGGACTACTTTGTATCCCTCCCCACCCTCTCTCCCCTCCTTCTCCATCCTCACTCACTCGTCAAGAGCTCACTCACAAGGAAATGGTCCGAGCCAAGTGCATTCCGCCTCAAATGGAGCGACTGGTTTTCCAGCCTCACTATGTGTCACTTTCCCCTCTCTCAACTCCCTCCCTCTTCTCCAGAGCTCACTCACAAGGAAATGGTCCGAGCCAGGTGCATTCCGCCTCAAATGGAGCGACTGGTTTTCCAGCCTCACTATGTGTCACTTTCCCCTCTCTCAACTCCCTCCCTCTTCTCCAGAGCTCACTCACAAGGAAATGATCCGAGCCAAGTGCATTCCGCCTCAAATGGAGCGACTGGTTTTCCAGCCTCACTATGTGTCACTTTCCCCTCTCTCAACTCCCTCCCTCTTCTCCAGAGCTCACTCACAAGGAAATGGTCCGAGCCAGGTGCATTCCGCCTCAAATGGAGCGACTGGTTTTCCAGCCTCACTATGTGTCACTTTCCCCTCTCTCAACTCCCTCCCTCTTCTCCAGAGCTCACTCACAAGGAAATGATCCGAGCCAAGTGCATTCCGCCTCAAATGGAGCGACTGGTTTTCCAGCCTCACTATGTGTCACTTTCCCCTCTCTCAACTCCCTCCCTCTTCTCCAGAGCTCACTCACAAGGAAATGGTCCGAGCCAAGTGCATTCCGCCTCAAATGGAGCGACTGGTTTTCCAGCCTCACTATGTGTCACTTTCCCCTCTCTCAACTCCCTCCCTCTTCTCCAGAGCTCACTCACAAGGAAATGGTCCGAGCCAAGTGCATTCCGCCTCAAATGGAGCGACTGGTTTTCCAGCCTCACTATGTGTCACTTTCCCCTCTCTCAACTCCCTCTCTCTTCTCCAGAGCTCACTCACAAGGAAATGGTCCGAGCCAAGTGCATTCCGCCTCAAATGGAGCGACTGGTTTACCAGCCTCACTATGTGTCACTTTCCCCTCTCTCAACTCCCTCCCTCTTCTCCAGAGCTCACTCACAAGGAAATGGTCCGAGCCAAGTGCATTCCGCCTCAAATGGAGCGACTGGTTTTCCAGCCTCACTATGTGTCACTTTCCCCTCTCTCAACTCCCTCCCTCTCCAGAGCTCACTCACAAGGAAATGGTCCGAGCCAAGTGCATTCCGCCTCAAATGGAGCGACTGGTTTTCCAGCCTCACTATGTGTCACTTTCCCCTCTCTCAACTCCCTCCCTCTTCTCCAGAGCTCACTCACAAGGAAATGGTCCGAGCCAAGTGCATTCCGCCTCAAATGGAGCGACTGGTTTTCCAGCCTCACTATGTGTCACTTTCCCCTCTCTCAACTCCCTCCCTCTTCTCCAGAGCTCACTCACAAGGAAATGGTCCGAGCCAAGTGCATTCCGCCTCAAATGGAGCGACTGGTTTTCCAGCCTCACTATGTGTCACTTTCCCCTCTCTCAACTCCCTCTCTCTTCTCCAGAGCTCACTCACAAGGAAATGGTCCGAGCCAAGTGCATTCCGCCTCAAATGGAGCGACTGGTTTACCAGCCTCACTATGTGTCACTTTCCCCTCTCTCAACTCCCTCCCTCTTCTCCAGAGCTCACTCACAAGGAAATGGTCCGAGCCAAGTGCATTCCGCCTCAAATGGAGCGACTGGTTTTCCAGCCTCACTATGTGTCACTTTCCCCTCTCTCAACTCCCTCCCTCTTCTCCAGAGCTCACTCACAAGGAAATGGTCCGAGCCAAGTGCATTCCGCCTCAAATGGAGCGACTGGTTTACCAGCCTCACTATGTGTCACTTTCCCCTCTCTCAACTCCCTCCCTCTTCTCCAGAGCTCACTCACAAGGAAATGGTCCGAGCCAAGTGCATTCCGCCTCAAATGGAGCGACTGGTTTTCCAGCCTCACTATGTGTCACTTTCCCCTCTCTCAACTCCCTCCTTCTCCAGAGCTCACTCACAAGGAAATGGTCCGAGCCAAGTGCATTCCTCCTCAAATGGAGAGACCTGCAGACCAAGGTCGAGAAGGGAATGGGGAAAGGAACTTGGAGGCAAACCGGGAGCATAGACAAGAAAGAGGAGTATGTTAGCATAGCATGAGTGGGAGGAGGGAAGGGGGCAACTGAATGAGGATGGTATGTTAGCATGGGGAAACAAACAACTTTACCTCACATGCAACAGAGCCTCACAGCACACGTCACAACGTGCACATCAAATCACCCCAAGAGATGCATCAATCACCTGAGCAGAGCTTCCCGTGCCTCCTCCAACCGGCCTTGCTTCTCAAGAGTAGAGGCCAGAGATGCGAGCATGCCTGCCAGTGCTGGTGCCTCTGTGCCCTGAGGGATATACAGAGAGTACAGAGATTGGGGCGTCTTTTTTCCGGAATCTCAAAAACACAGATAATGTGGCGTGAGTGGTTCCAAGAGTAGCTGCCAGAGCTGCAATCATGCCTGCCAGTGGTGCTGCCTCCATGCCCTGATAGTGGTCAAGAGAATGTGGCCAAGTGTGCGGCCAAGCAGCAGCAACACAGACAGTGTAGCTTGAGTGAATGCAAGAGTAGCAGCCAGCCAGCCGAGGTGTCTTTTGAGTCGACACAAAAGTCACCAAGCAGCAGCGATACAGACAGTGTGGATTGAGTGAGTGCAAGAGTAGCAGCCATGTGAGCACCAGCACGGGAGCACCAGCACGGGAGCTCTGGACGGGAGCTCTGTACGGGAGCTCTGGACTGGAGCTCTGGACTGGAGCTCTGGACTGGAGCTCTGGACTGGAGCTCTGGACTGGAGCTCTGGACGGGAGCTCTGGACTGGAGCTCTGGACGGGAGCTCTGGACTGGAGCTCTGGACGGGAGCTCTGGACGGGAGCTCTGGACTGGAGCTCTGGACTGGAGCTCTGGACTGGAGCTCTGGACTGGAGCTCTGGACTGGAGCTCTGGACTGGAGCTCTGGACTGGAGCTCTGGACTGGAGCTCTGGACTGGAGCTCTGGACTGGAGCTCTGGACGGGAGCTCTGGACTGGAGCTCTGGACTGGAGCTCTGGACTGGAGCTCTGGACTGGAGCTCTGGACTGGAGCTCTGGACTGGAGCTCTGGACTGGAGCTCTGGACTGGAGCTCTGGACGGGAGCTCTGGGCTGGAGCTCTGGACTGGAGCTCTGGACTGGAGCTCTGGATGGGAGCTCTGGACTGGAGCTCTGGACGGGAGCTCTGGACTGGAGCTCTGGACTGGAGCTCTGGACTGAAGCTCTGGACTGGAGCTCTGGACTGGAGCTCTGGACTGGAGCTCTGGACTGGAGCTCTGGACTGGAGCTCTGAACGGGAGCTCTGGACTGGAGCTCTGGACTGGAGCTCTGGACTGGAGCTCTGGACTGGAGCTCTGGACTGGAGCTCTGGACGGGAGCTCTGGACGGGAGCTCTGGACGGGAGCTCTGGACTGGAGCTCTGGACTGGAGCTCTGGACTGGAGCTCTGTACGGGAGCTCTGGACTGGAGCTCTGGACGGGAGCTCTGGACTGGAGCTCTGGACGGGAGCTCTGGACTGGAGCTCTGGACTGGAGCTCTGGACTGGAGCTCTGGACTGGAGCTCTGGACTGGAGCTCTGGACTGGAGCTCTGGACTGGAGCTCTGGACGGGAGCTCTGGGCTGGAGCTCTGGACTGGAGCTCTGGACTGGAGCTCTGGATGGGAGCTCTGGACTGGAGCTCTGGACGGGAGCTCTGGACTGGAGCTCTGGACTGGAGCTCTGGACTGAAGCTCTGGACTGGAGCTCTGGACTGGAGCTCTGGACTGGAGCTCTGGACTGGAGCTCTGGACTGGAGCTCTGGACGGGAGCTCTGGACTGGAGCTCTGGACTGGAGCTCTGGACTGGAGCTCTGGACTGGAGCTCTGGACTGGAGCTCTGGACGGGAGCTCTGGACTGGAGCTCTGGACGGGAGCTCTGGACTGGAGCTCTGGACTGGAGCTCTGGACTGGAGCTCTGGACTGGAGCTCTGGACTGGAGCTCTGGACTGGAGCTCTGGACTGGAGCTCTGGACTGGAGCTCTGGACTGGAGCTCTGGACTGGAGCTCTGGACTGGAGCTCTGGACGGGAGCTCTGGACTGGAGCTCTGGACGGGAGCTCTGGACTGGAGCTCTGGACGGGAGCTCTGGACGGGAGCTCTGGACGGGAGCTCTGGACTGGAGCTCTGGACTGGAGCTCTGGACTGGAGCTCTGGACTGGAGCTCTGGACTGGAGCTCTGGACTGGAGCTCTGGACTGGAGCTCTGGACTGGAGCTCTGGACTGGAGCTCTGGACGGGAGCTCTGGACTGGAGCTCTGGACTGGAGCTCTGGACTGGAGCTCTGGACTGGAGCTCTGGACTGGAGCTCTGGACTGGAGCTCTGGACGGGAGCTCTGGACTGGAGCTCTGGACTGGAGCTCTGGACTGGAGCTCTGGATTGGAGCTCTGGACTGGAGCTCTGGGCTGGAGCTCTGGACGGGAGCTCTGGACTGGAGCTCTGGACTGGAGCTCTGGACTGGAGCTCTGGACTGGAGCTCTGGACTGGAGCTCTGGACGGGAGCTCTGGACTGGAGCTCTGGACTGGAGCTCTGGACTGGAGCTCTGGACTGGAGCTCTGGACTGGAGCTCTGGACTGGAGCTCTGGACGGGAGCTCTGGACGGGAGCTCTGGACTGGAGCTCTGGACTGGAGCTCTGGACTGGAGCTCTGGACTGGAGCTCTGGACTGGAGCTCTGGACTGGAGCTCTGGACTGGAGCTCTGGACGGGAGCTCTGGACTGGAGCTCTGGACTGGAGCTCTGGACTGGAGCTCTGGACTGGAGCTCTGGACGGGAGCTCTGGACTGGAGCTCTGGACTGGAGCTCTGGACGGGAGCTCTGGACTGGAGCTCTGGACTGGAGCTCTGGACTGGAGCTCTGGACTGGAGCTCTGGACTGGAGCTCTGGACGGGAGCTCTGGACTGGAGCTCTGGACTGGAGCTCTGGACGGGAGCTCTGGACTGGAGCTCTGGACTGGAGCTCTGGACTGGAGCTCTGGACTGGAGCTCTGGACGGGAGCTCTGGACAGGAGCTCTGGACTGGAGCTCTGGACTGGAGCTCTGGACTGGAGCTCTGGACGGGAGCTCTGGACTGGAGCTCTGGACTGGAGCTCTGGACGGGAGCTCTGGACGGGAGCTCTGGACTGGAGCTCTGGACTGGAGCTCTGGACTGGAGCTCTGGACTGGAGCTCTGGACTGGAGCTCTGGACGGGAGCTCTGGACTGGAGCTCTGGACTGGAGCTCTGGACGGGAGCTCTGGACTGGAGCTCTGGACTGGAGCTCTGGACTGGAGCTCTGGACTGGAGCTCTGGACTGGAGCTCTGGACTGGAGCTCTGGACTGGAGCTCTGGACTGGAGCTCTGGACTGGAGCTCTGGACTGGAGCTCTGGATGGGAGCTCTGGACTGGAGCTCTGGACGGGAGCTCTGGACTGGAGCTCTGGACGGGAGCTCTAGACTGGAGCTCTGGACTGGAGCTCTGGACGGGAGCTCTGGACTGGAGCTCTGGACTGGAGCTCTGGACTGGAGCTCTGGACTGGAGCTCTGGACTGGAGCTCTGTACGGGAGCTCTGGACTGGAGCTCTGGACTGGAGCTCTGGACTGGAGCTCTGGACTGGAGCTCTGGACTGGAGCTCTGGACTGGAGCTCTGGACTGGAGCTCTGGACTGGAGCTCTGGACGGGAGCTCTGGACTGGAACTCTGGACTGGAGCTCTGGACTGGAGCTCTGGACTGGAGCTCTGGACTGGAGCTCTGGACTGGAGCTCTGGACTGGAGCTCTGGACGGGAGCTCTGGACTGGAGCTCTGGACTGGAGCTCTGGACTGGAGCTCTGGACTGGAGCTCTGGACGGGAGCTCTGGACGGGAGCTCTGGACTGGAGCTCTGGACTGGAGCTCTGGACGGGAGCTCTGGACTGGAGCTCTGGACTGGAGCTCTGGACGGGAGCTCTGGACGGGAGCTCTGGACTGGAGCTCTGGACTGGAGCTCTGGACTGGAGCTCTGGACGGGAGCTCTGGACTGGAGCTCTGGACTGGAGCTGTCGCGGTATTATGTAGACCATGGAGGGCAACATTATGCCGAGACAGCGGCTGTGGCATAAGGCATGGGCTTGACAAATCAGTGAGATGAGTTTCATTGGGGCAAGTGTAAGCGGAACAAGGAGCAGCAGACGAACGGGCTGCGGTGTACATATTTTGTACCATAGCGAGGGCGAACCTTGAGCAAGTGAATGTCGGGAGAGGGTTTTGGGGGGTTTTGCGTGTTTTCTTTGTGTGAATGCTGTTCTGTGCTGTGGCAGGGCGAGCGCTGCTAACGAGGCATACGAGCAGCACGGCCGACAGGTGGCGAGGGCTGCAAGTGCATATGCGAGACAACCGGGCAGCTGGCACAGTTTCTGGTGCCAAACCACATGCAGCCCCAAACCGCCAGCGGCTTGTACATACGACGCGGGAAGCCCGAGCCTCGCTCGCGCGTGATCTCTGTTTGTCCTTTCCGCTGAAGCACTAGGCTAGGGCAGTCAATCTCATCTTGTACATAGAGCTACTGAACCCTAATGCTAGGTGCTTCGTCGTATGTTTCCTGCTTTTTCTCAATGTAATCCTGTTAAACCAACACGGGTAGAGTCAAGAATAGCAGGAGCCAGCTAGTCGGCCTAGATGAGTTAGTGAGGTTTTCTGACATACGACGAAGGAAATCTCACAAGATAGGACGCAGCGGTGAATGCAGCTACGCTCTGGAAGACGATACGAATTGCCTCCGGATCCGCTGGTGATGGCGACTCCAGGATGGCGAGCAGGAGACGCGGCGGGAGAGACCGTCGGCACGCAAGCAGGAGGATCCGGAGGCGCGCCGACGAGAGAAGCGTACACGGCGCCGCATCGGAGGCACAGCATGAGTGACCTGCCGACCGGGGGGCTTGACGCCTTCCACAGCTCGTCCGCTAGACCCCTCGCAGAAGTGGGTGAGACCGTTGAGCCGCCGCGGAGCGGAGATGCCACACAAGGCACGAGTGCGGAAGGCGAGCTGCTCCGACAGACCAGGAGATTCTCCCTGTCAGAACATCACAACACCGAGGTCACGCGCCCGCCTGTGCGGTATGCGGCGCTGCCAAAGATCGAGGTGCCGGAACGGTTTGCAGGCACTCCGGGCGTGGGAAGCAGCCTTAAGAAATACATGATGCAGATCCGCAACGCGCAATACCGCTGGATGAAGGATGGGCTGGAGCCCGAAGACTTTTTCCGAGGACTTTCGAACACGGTCACGGGAGAAGCGGAGACGGCGTACGGCATGGAATTGGAGCGCATGCTCAGCGAA